CCCATTGTGCCAATCCAATAGTAACACAATACATCAAATATGACAAACAGGTGGTAAACTTTATGCAAACGTCAAACTTAAAAATACCTAAAAAAAATTTCCACAGTAAAAATAAATGTGAGTTTTTTTTTATCTGATGATTAACTCTGTTGTTTTCCATTCACTTAAGCTAATTTTTATGGATGATGATGATGACATGGAACTACCACTCACTGTAGCATGATAACTGGCCACAGACTGTGGACCATCCTCACTGCTCGACCTGATCAAGTCCAACAACCTCCAATTGCACTCCACCCGCCACTACATGAAAGGCCAAAAACGATTTGGGTGAATCCGTGGGCAACATCGCCAACGCGCATCCATGGGACAAACGATAATCTCCCTCCAACAACAGGATCACACAACCGGCCATAAAACAGGCCTTCCAACAAAGGGACGTGAGTGGAGAGAAGAACCCGCCCTCCCCTCACGAAACTCCACAAACAGGGAGTCGGCATCTCCACTCCCCCCATCCACCTCGCCTAAATCGGGTGCCCTGGTGAACCCTACCGTACCCAGCATATAATGTTTCATATAATAATGGAATGAATGTTAAGAGAAAAATAAAGGAAAGATCTCACCGGATATGTTGCAAAGGGATCCATGACATCACGATGTTTTCGAAGAGCTCCCATAGATATGCTGCCGCTACTTCTTCAACCGGTGTTAAAAACAGCACTCTCGCCTTTCCTTCCTCACACAGCAGCGGAAACCCTAAAAAACCCCGAAACTCACACTAGCTGCTCCAACTGGAGGGATCTCAGCAGAGAAAAAATGAACTGCATCCACTTTCCATCACCAATCACTCGCGACACAATGGCTTTAGTTCGCCAGCACAGTCTGTAAAACGCAGCGCCAGCACCTCACCGGCAGAATAAACTCGCGAGTGACCGAAAACAAACGCCATGGCACCCTTCGATTGTATTACTGAAACACAACCTCACACACAAACACGATGACGACAACGTTTAGCAAGCGCCTTTCGTCCGGGAGGCGGAACGCCAGCACACAGCAAGCGAAGGAGAGAAGAAAAATAAAATGCACAGACAGCTCGAGTTGAACAGCTAACGTTGACAGACAAACGCGAACTCAATTCCATTAAATTCCAGATATTAAGAAAAACTTCGGAAACTTTACAGAAGGACATTGGTCTTCAGAAACATTACTTCATAGAAATCTATGGAGCTTAAGATGAGATTCGTGAACTTCAGGAAATTTTATGAACATTAGCAAAATGCGAGAGCATTAGAATGAAGTTCAGTAAACTCCGAAAATTTGAGGAATTCACGAAAATTAGTAGGGAATTTAAAGCAGTTCCCAGATTTGCAGATAAATTTAGAGACGTAAAAAAAATTGAGGTCTTCGCGTAAGTTCAGATGTTCACTGAAGCATTTTTTTAAATTAAATTCAGCGCAGTACAACAAGCTTCATGAGAACTGCAAAAACTTTAGAGAAGTTTTGAGAATTTCAGAAAAGAACAGAGAACCTCAGAGCAGTTTCGTCAACATTAGAGAAGTCACAAAAATTTTAAAGAAGTTTAGAGAACTTCAGCGAATTGTTAAACCTTTAAAGAAGATCCATGGTCGTAAGAAAACTTGAGGAAACTTTAGAAAGTCCTATAAAGTTCAAAATTTGAGGAGAAGTTTTGCAAGCATCAGGCTAGTTTATCAAACTACAAAAGAACTTCAAGGCAGCTTCATTAACTTCAGAAAAAATTGTGATTCTGAAGACCTCCAAATAGTCCATTCTCCATATTCAACGGAGATTTCCCCAAAACCTCGATGAAGCTATCTTCAGAATTATTTTTTTTAGTTTTTCTCGGAATTACCTTGAAATTCTCCACAATTAGAAATCCTTTGGAAAGATTCTCCGAATATTCATTGAATTCATTTCAGATTTCTTTTTGAATCTCACTCCTTCTCTTGGAATTCTACTCACATTGACATTCATTGGCATTTCTCATCAGAAATTGCTTAGATTTCTTCTCATAATTTGTTTGGCAAACCCTCCTGAATTTATTTTCCGAATTCCTTTGAAGATGTTCTGGAGTTATTCTCACATTTAATTGTAATCCTCCTTTTAGTATTTTCATACAATTTCCAATGACTTGTGCTCCGTATTCATTTTTTTCCCACAAACTTTATGGAATTATCCTTAGAATGCGCTTCGAATTTTCCGGTGAAGTTCACACTAGTTGTGCTCCTCAGAAATTCCTAAGATTTTTCATTAAAATTTACGTTTGACTCAATTCAGGGTTTCTTGTAATTCTACTCAAAACTAAGGCTTCACATGAAATCTAAAATTCCTCAGAACTACCTCGAAAGCCGATTGTATTTGCTTTTCTGAATGATTTTTTGTTCCATAGCTCCCTTGGAATGAAGTCCTTAGAAATTATAATAAAATTCCTCGAGTCTTTAAAACTGCGCATGGAATTTGACTCCATATTCTTGAAAATTTATTGAAGTAGTTTAGCTGTTAAGTCCAGAACTAGATCAAATTAATTTTTTTTTAGAAAATGTGCATGTTCCAAAACCAAAAAAAAACATGATTTGTTACTGAAGATTAATCCACTGTGAATCTTTAAAGTTCAAAGTGTGAATGAAAATAACGAGAAAAATCAAATGGTTGTTATTATTTTCTTTAAAATATCCTTAGTAATTTTTTTTTAGTTCTTTGAGACTTCCAGGTAGTTTAAGGAAACAAAATTTCCTGAGGATTCCTGGTTTGGTTATAAACTTTCTATTGAATCTTTCGCTTGAAAGGTTCATATCGTACATAAGTTTATGAGATAATAATTGAATAAGTTTATTTGATGCGCCTTCTCTTAGGTCACTATTTTTACAACTACATGTAAGTCACTTTTTGGTCACTTATTTATTCAACATGGTCACTAAAATCACTTTTGCTGACAGATCATTGAACACTTGTTTTTTTTTGCTGAAAATTATAAACCGGGGAATTTTTTAAATTTGTTCCGGGAAAACCCGGGAATTTAGAAATGAATATTCACTAGCCACTCTGTATATTTTATGCAGTCTTCTTGACCTGTGTCTTCGCTCAAATACTTCCAAAACGCACGGACGTCTCACGCTGACGCTTCATCGTTGTAACTTTTGATTCTGAATCAGCCTTGCTTGACCGACACTCCGCCGAACCGTCTTTACCCCTTGATTGCTTTTCAGAATGTGCCACACCTCGTTGCTCAGAGAAATTGTGCTGCTGTAGGCTTAGAAGTGCTAAAATGATAACTGTAAAAGTATTCAAAAAAACTTTAAGCTGAAAGCAGACAGTTCCAGCAGCAAAGTCAACATCATCAAATCAATCATTTGAATTCGCTTCACCTCATTTCTATCGATTTTGTGTGTTTCTTAGATGTCATAACTGTGGCCCAGATCAACTAGCAACGTGAGTTGAATTTTTCGGATGGCTCGATCAGTCTTTCTATTAATTTCAGTTGTTAGTTCAGTGTGTTTGACTAAATGTTAATCGTACCCTACTTCATAAAAAAAAACGTGTCACGCATCCTTTTACCTCTCGACGCCCGTCGCAAAAACTCGTCGAAATATACTAGAACCATAAAATGCAATGCAAACAACCTGATACACCAAACTTCCTGCAATTAACAGCAATTTTCCGAATGAAACTCTATCATAATTAATTCCCCCATCCAAAGATTCATGCAATAGAAACCGGCACAAACAGTGCGCAAAAAAAAAAACCATTTAGCCAACCGACCAACCAACCGATGGCGCTTCAAAGCATTCACTCACTTGTAATCGCTTCCATCACGATCATCATCACCATCGCGCGCCAATGCTCATCATCAGCAGAGCACACATATCGCACCCAGTGGGCCATCGACCGACGTTAGCACGCGCCGGCCGTCGTCGGTGTCGTTGTCATCTGGTTCTCTCCGATCGGGGACCAATCGTTTTTTTCCCTTCTTCTGGTGTCCTTTTAGATAGCCTAGTTGAATCGAACGATGAAATACGAACCAAAAAAAAACGCAGCTCCTGCTCCACCTGGGCGCGCGTGGTTGTAAAAGCGCGAAAGGATGAGAACTACCTCCCCCACAATATACACCAACCCCACTTCTCCCCCTTCCAGCAGGGAATGGGGGTTCAATCCACGATCTGGGTGTATCGACGAGAGACAGAAAGAGAGAGAGAGAAAAAGAGAGAGCTCGGTTTTTATTTGTTTTTTTATTTGATTTTTTTTTCGGATGGTCCTTTTCCCGATCCGTGGACACTAGAGGGAGACAGACAGAGAGAAGAGGAGAGTAATGCAACCAGAAGGCAACACGCGATAGAAAGGAACGTAAAATCGATTAATTAATCAAAAAGTTGGATGGTGCCGGGAAAATCGAAGCAATTTTAATTTTCCCAATTTTCATTAGTTTTTTTGTTGTTGGTATGTGCGTGCATGAATGTGCTGCACTGCCCTGCCCTGCAGCACTGCACACACTATTTTCGGTAATTACGTACGGCACATTTTCGCGATCGATGATGAGATTTTTTTTTGTTTTTCCGCATTGGCAAACACAGAACGCACATGCAGTTAATGAAAAATGCAACCAATGTGGCCTATCTCTTGGCCCCTTCAGAGCCCCGCTAGTACTCACCGGTTCTCGCATCATGCAAATCAGAGCGACAATTAGGCCAATCGGAGAGACAGAGACAGAGAGACAGAAGAGACAGAGATGATGAAGATACGACAGAGGCTAGAAGAATGAATTCCCATCCGAATCAAATGCAATCGATCGTATGCCTTGATTTAGGTTATTTCCCTCTTTTGGTTCAGTAAAATAGAGAAACTAGTACTCAATAGCATTGGTTTTTAAACTATACCTCCTGCATTCCTTAGAAGAAAAATTGCATAAAACCACCCCCCACACACAAAAGATCAATGAAAAAACGAATAATAATCAAGCTCTCTTGTTCCTTCTTTTCCGTTCCCAGGTGGGCAATGGACTGTAATCGATACGAATTATTCGAGGTTCGGTATCACGTCGTGTCAGACAAACTTAGGACTCCAGCAGCAGCATGCACAGGCACAGGCTCAGGCACAGCAGCATGCGGCCGCCGCCCAGCAGCAGCACCATCAGCAGCAACAGCAAGCCGCCCAGGCAGCGCAAGCAGCGGCGGCAGCTAGTCAGCAAGCCCAAGCCCAGCAGCAGGCGGCGGCGGCAGCTGCGGCCCAGCATCATCAAGCGCAGCAACAGCAACAACAGGGTGATAGCCAGTCGCTGAGCAATAATGGCGGCAGTGGCGGCAACAACAACAGCAACAGCAGTAATCCCCTATCGAATGCCTCGACGAACAACTCCAACGCCCCGACGCCGCAGCCCACGACGCCAGTACAAATCTACCAGCATCCGTTCTCGCCGCAGATCATCTCCGTCAATCCGAACAACATGGTCAACAGCTACAGCTCGTCCAACATTTCGACGCCAACGTCACCGCAGGGCGGTAATGAATCGGCGGCTGCTGCGGCCGCCATGGTCCAAAGTGTCTACAGCCATGGTGCGAATGCAAATCAAACAACCATCGGGGCGACCAGTGCGAGTGGGACGACGACAATTCAACCGGTTAAACGGAAACGGTCCGTCAACCCGCAAGGCGACGAAAACTTCCTGCGAGCACTCGAAGCCGTTCGGTTCGGTGGCATTGGTTTCTGCAAGGCCGCTCGTCTGTACGGCGTAAACAACCGAACCCTATGGTTAGAATACAAGAAACGAGGTTACCCCATCAGCAGGCCGAGCATAAAAAGTAGGATAAAGCTCGAGCCGAACATTTCACCGCCACCCTCGACCACCCCCACTGGCGATGAGAACGCCTCGATGGAACATTACGACACCTCGCTTTCGTCCCCGGCGCTTAATATGTCCCTGCAGCAGCATCAACAACAGCAACAGCAACAACAGCAGCAACAGCAGCAGCAAGCTCAACAGCAGGCCGCCCAACAGCAGCAGGCAGCTCAGCAGCAACAACAGCAACAGCAAGCCCAGCAGCAGCAAACTCAACACCAAACGTCGAACGAGAACGCAGCAACGGCGGCGGCAGCCGCTGCAGCTGCAGCCGCAGTGGCCGCATCGTCCGCTGCTGCTCCGCTGATGTGTCCCCCGCATGCGCACCCGATGGGAGTGATGGGTTTCCTGGACACGCGGCACGTAGACTTCACGACGGCAGCCGCCGGGATACACCAGATGTCCCGGCAGAGGTATCCGGATACGACGACGGTGAACATGAACACCGGAGCGGTCAATTTGCAGGGCTTAAATTTTAACTCGATGTAAGGTGACGAGGGTGCTTCGAAGGGGCGCTGGGGGAGGAGGGCGAAAACAACGGTGGACGTTGATGGTTTGAGAAATACGGGGCTGTGCGTAGTGCGGTTGAAGGAATGATGAGATTTGGTTTCCTAAGCGCGGGTTGGAGTAACCATACCGAGAACGTCAGAAATCTGCTTTTTCCGAAAGAAATTATCAGGTAGCTTAACAAGCTTCCCCAGCGATGTTCTCTGAATGGGGCTTAGAAGTTTCCTAAATTCGATTTTCACTCAGTTTTTTTTCATTATTGTATTTTTCACACCCTTAGCAAAAGAAAATGCACATTCTATCTGACCAAAGTTGTACGTAAGCCGGTTGAAATTTAAAATGTATGAGGCGTTTATTTTTTTTATGGAAATTAAAAACTGTTAAGTTTCTTTATCGTTGACCACTTCGGTAGTGACGGAGAATCTGTTCGTCACTCGGAAGTAATAAATAAACAGTTATACACAGCACTAAAGGTCATTCCTCAATTTGCCCAATAAGAAACATTACTTTAACTGCCCTTTAACTGTCCCGCAATGTGGGTAGATCACCTTTTTGTGGTACGTTACGGTATGTAAGATCTACCACCGATTCGTCCTGACTACTTCAAACAACTTGGGGAACAGGATTTTTCAGTAATCAAAGGAACACGTCTTAGTCCTTGTTACTTTGTATGCCTTGTTGATAGTGATAAGTCCTCGAGTTGCTTGAACCGAGCATGATCTTGGAACAAGAAAAACATGAGTTAGTCTTCATCTATGTGATTCCTAATATTCTATTCGTTGTTCCCTAGTTTGAAGTGATTAAGACTAGAGTTCTGATGCATGGTCGTTATCGGTGTTAATTTTGCTGTCGAAGAATCGAATTTTGACTGATAAAGGGGTGCTCTTACTCTTCGAACGGTTAGATCAATTAGAATCGATTCCATGCGATGAAGGCAAGAATGACAACTGTTTCAAAACCGAATACTTCATCATTTCTCAATAGAGATGGAGTAAGACGACGTGCAGTAAACTAAGGATTTATCAATAAATCAAACTAGTGGTTTTATGTCCCGAATAGAGGAAAAAACGTCACTAAGGACATCGGTTTACGTCAGACTGGTTGCTGTTGTGGTACTTAATTGTTATTCAGAATCTTCTAGCATTGATCACTTCTCCCGACGTATCAAGACATTTTGAAAATTTCACATGATTAGCTTCACGCAAATCGGTTAAAATTATACCTAAGTATCACACATTGTCGCAAAAGGCACTAAGGATGAACAGTGAACCGGGAAATCGGGAAAAGCGGTAAAATGCCGGGAATTCGAATTTAGCTGACAAATCGGGAAAAATGTGCTTCGTCTTCTCTCCGAAAAAAAAAATGAGTTTTTGAACCTTGATAAAATTTAAAAACCTTTGGACTGAACTAGATATTCAGGGTATACTTGGAAGAATTTTTAAGATAATGTAAGAATTTTTTCCAACGCAATTTTTAACAAATTTTAGATTTTCTGCCACGGGTAGTTTTTAGAATTAGTTCTAGAGATAACACCGAGGTATTTCAGAGAAAATGTCTTAAGGAATTTTGGGATGAACTCTAGGACAGTTTTGACTAGCACTTCAAGTCAATTGTGTGAGTTTGGAGTATTTTTTTTTTCAAGTAGCTCTTTGGAAAATTCCATGGCGGTTGTCGGGGAATCGAATTTGGAGGGAACAATTTCAAAGGAATTGTGCGAGGGAGGTTTATGGTAATTTCGAGGGTAATTTCAACTGCATCTCAAAAGGAATTTCTAGATAATTTTAAGGAGAATTCCATGTGAATTTTCAGAAAAGTTCAAATGATAACGCCTAGATAATCCTGAGCAAAATTTGATGATACAGTATGCGTCAGAAAATAATGAGACACAAACATTTTCAATTTCATTCGAGCTTAGTAGGGCTGAGAACTACTTCGGCCTAATCGCCCATTTTGGGCCTATCGAACAGAAAACTTCAAATAAATCCATGATTTAAGAGTAACATGTCAATTATGCGTTTGGTTCGTTACTTTGATTAATAAGCTACCAAGTCAATGAGAACGCGTGATATGAAGGTTTGCACCCATTATTCCCAAAAACAAAAGAAGCGCTCCGACCGAATCAATTTTTATCTTCATCCGATAGGCCGAAGTGAATTCATTGGCGTTTCAATGCGTTAGGCCGAGTTTAGAATCCGTAGGCCGAGTTTGGCGTCAAGAAATAGTGTTAGACTTTTGACAATATCTCAACGATTGGTTTCTCTTTATTAAAACTTACGGTACGTACGGAAAGGTAAATAAATTTGGAAGCCATCAGTAATAATAACGTTCCGTTTGGTGCTAAGCTGCGCTAAATTAAGAAAGACTAAGTGTGGGTTGTGCTTAATAGGCCGGACATGGGGTAGTTAACCCTATCTTTATTATCATCTGTATTAACAAAAAATGATCGTTAAAGATTACGCTTCATTTTCATTCAATATGCCTGCCATTTGCATGTATGGCCGCTTCCAGACGGCGCCTGAAGCTATTGCAGACCTTTAAAATATAATCACATTACATTTCTCTCCAATGCTTTGTTATGGAAGTCCGCATAGAGTTCAAGTTCGGATGAGGTACTTCAATGTTCACCCAGACACTGAAATCCAGACGATTTAAGTCAGATGAGCTAAGTGGCCACATCTCTTTGGACCAGAATATATGTTTTCTTTGACGTGTGGGCACGGGCTCCGTCGTGCTGGAATACAACATTCGCATCTTTGCCGTAGGTAGATGTAATCCAAGGCAAAACATGATCCTTAAGAATTCCTAAGTACACATCCGTTTTCACTCTCACGCCTTCTTGGATGAGAACAGAGTCTATTTTTTTTTGCCATCAGACGCAACTAACCCGAACTGGATCTGGATGCTTGGTGCGAAACGTGAATTTGATGTTCTCAGGTACATCGGATGCTTTCTTCGAACTTATATACCAGTTGGTGCGACTGTTGGACACGCTATCGACACTGAACATCTTCTCGTCCGTGAAGAGAATGACGGTGGATCTCTTCTTCAGTACACTGAGTAGTTTCTTGATTCACTCCACTCTAGCTGCTTCAATTCTGTCAGTAATCAGGTATCTTTTAACTTGAGCTCTGAATTTTCCTTTTAAGTCATATTTCACCACCGTCTTCGTTCTTACCGTTGTCATTTTCCTAATGCTCCGAACGGGATTGCGAGTCACTTCCAGGTTTTCTTAGAACTATTGGGAGTCCAATTGATGCCTTGACTGTAATCTGAGAATTGCATTCTTGCGTTGATTTTTTCACAAAATCTTCCCTTATCCACACAAATACAAATACACTAATCTGTTTGTAAACAATAACTGCCATCTGGAGCCAAATTTTGCAAAACTAGGTTAAACGGCTTGAGCAGTAAGATAGTATTAGTGAGATTCTCAAAAGTTTCTGATGCATACTGTAGTTCTGAGGGGAATTTCATGTGAATTTTTAGAAAATGTTTAAAATCAAAATCTAATTACGAATTTCATGTATTTTTTTAGTGTTCTGCAGAGAATTTCTGGACTATTATAAAGAAATTTTCAAGGGACTTTCAGAGAGAATCTTAAATTTATGTTAGAAGCAGCGAATCCAAACACATAAAGCAATCAACGATTCAGACAAAACGGTTGCTACGACTACTATGACAAACTCGCTCGGTAACATAGCTCGATCGGAGCGGTAGAAGGATAATGATATATTGCTTGCCTGCTTTGTTGCAATATACACGGATGAGGACATAGCTTGATCTGAATCGAGAAAAGACATAACAAAAAAAAATCCCATTAACACACGTGTATCATCTTCGGCTTTACTTCGTGAAGCAGCTTGCCAACAATTTGCTCGTTTCCTTCTACCGCCCCGAGTGAGTTGTGTCGCACGAGCTGCTTGTCATGAAAAAAAGGAAGAAAATTATATCATTAAGCTGGGTTTAGACTAGGCAAGTCAAATGATCAACGCAGTTGAATTTAATTGGCTAGTTCAACTTTTTTCAATTCAAGTGAATTGATCAAGTCAGTTGAATGGCATGGTTTACACGTTCAATTCGCGTTCAATTCAACTGACTTGATCAATTGACTTGCGCTGGCTAAACCCAGCTTTATTGTTTTCCATTTCTGACATAGCGTTATCATTCGGTTCGTTGATCGCTTGTCATTTTGTCATTTGGAGATACTTTTGATTCCTTGGTTAGAAGAATTCTGTGAAGGGAAATGATTTTAATGGAATTGCTTGGGAACATTCAAATAAAATCCTACAAAGTTTTGAGCGAATTTTTATGGACAAAGTTGTGAAGGCGGCGAACGCAGATGGTACAGAAAAAATGTAATGACCATTTAACCTAATGATCTCTTCGGCTCAATCGCATTTCATTTTATGCTGAATTTAAAAGTATATCGCATAACCGGGAATATTTGCAAAATTCCGGGGAAAAAACTGGGAAATTGCTAATTGGGATTTGCTGGTCACTTAACTGTGACTAAACAAACTAAAATGTGAGCAAGTCATTCAGCTGCATGACATCCTTGGATGGCACATTTGGTTTGTGGTGTTCCATAAGGCTGAGTTCCAGTCCAGTAGACCGAATGTCATTAACCCACTTAGCGGTTATAAAATTTGAATTTTTAGTACGACTACTTTTAGGTCTGAGAATCTCAAGAAATTTACAAAATCTCTGTTTTTTAGGGTACCCTGAAGAATAACTTGTTGGTATCATGATTAAGAGTTGGTTTTAGTCACGTTTTGTCTACAGTCAATATTTTATTTTATGTTTTCCTGTAATTATCGTAAATATAGCTTGACCGCTACCGCTTTTGCTTACTGAATAGAAGATCGTGGGTTTATTCCCAAGCTCCTCCAAAATAAAATAAAAATACCCATCTTCTACCCATCGATCCAACTCCGTAGCATCTATGGGAGCGTCGTTTGGGGGGCTCGAGAGATGTCATTACTGAGATCCTATTTGTTTAGGTACAATCTAAAAAAACACAATTGAAGCAGTTACGTCTGTTTGTCTGTGATTATTCCATAGGTATTTCTAGATAGAGCTGGAATTATGACGTAACAGCTTTTGTAAACAATGACTTCTCTCGATGATTTCTAGGAATTCAAGTCACGTCCACGCAAACCAACATAACCATCGGAGAGGGGAAGTCTTCCCCTATCCGATGATGAAGTTGATTTGCGTCGGCGAGCCTCTAGAAATCATCGAGATAAGTAAGTGTTTACAAAAGCTGTTACGCCCTGATTCCAGCTCTATCTGAATTTGTTGTAATTGTATGTCAATTAAAATTAAGGGAGCATGAGTGGTGACTGGGTGACCTACCGTTAATTTTCCGGGGAAAGTTGGAAGACACTTCCGAGAGAAAACCGAGCAATCCCACAGGTGAAGTCAGGAAAACTTTCCGGCGAAAGTCAGATAGACTTCT